GTGTGTGTGTTTGTACGCTTGTGTATATTTAATATACAATAATGTGCTTGGTATGAGGCATGAATTTGTGTACTTTAGTTTGAAATCATATCTAAGATCATGGAAGCATGTGTGTGTGTGTGTGTGTGTAAATATGCATGTGAATGAATGTTCAGAAAGCTTGTGCCACAGTTACTCTGAAGAGGTGATAGGCTAAATCAAGCCTATATACTTAATTGAGCGTCTTTATTATTATATACACTATATAGCCAAGATAAAGCAACACAATATGAAGCCTGCTGCCTTAACACGCTGCGTGCGTGGGAATCAGCCTCCCTCACATAAACTTTGATCTGCCTCTGGAGCTTAAACTAGAAACGCTCTGCACTGTCTTCCTTAATGTTTTGCACAGGCAGCAAAAAAAAAGAAAAGAAAAGGAGCTGATGGGAAATCTTGTTGTTTATATCAGATCTCCACTGAGTCTAATTCCAGCACAGAGATACAATCTCAAATATAGTACTGGTGTGTGCAGTACGTTCCTGCTTCGCACTGCACTGTAATCATCCTCCTTTCCGGCGTTGCCTGACTGCAGTGCATCCCCACAAAAACACTCAGCTGGCATCCTCTGAACAAAACCCAGCTCTGCAAATGTTATCAGATAAGCTTCATTGTCCGTTAGTAGTGCAGTGAGGAGATAACATGTGTTACACACCACTTGGAGAAGATCTTAGCTCAGACACCACTAATTCTTTGACACAGAGAATCAGTAGGTAGTGGCCACTGCGACATGCAACACAGGGAATCAGATGGGAATTCAACATGCCTCGCTCACCTGCTGCAGATCTGGAGTTAATCACCAAGACAGATGAGGGAGGAGTCCTTTTGGACAGGCGTTTTCAGATGCAGATCCTCACTCACATTCCTGTCGTGCCCTCCTCTTGATCTTCTCTTAGCTGCAAGGCAAGGTGGGTGTTGTGCTATTAGATGTAGTGGCAGAGTGTGTATCTGTGTAAGAAAAAGAGGAAGGAAGGAGCAGCAGCAGCCCTCTCTGCTTCCTGTCAGTGTATGAGTATGTGGATGGGTTAGTGTTTGTTTTTCTCTGAGGCAGAGTCTGGTCAGAGCAGCATCACAGGGGATGTGGGGTGGTGAGAGAGAGAGAGAGAGAGAGGATAAGGGAGAGTAAAATCATCCAGCGCTGCTCTGCCTGCAATGATCAGTTTCCATACTCCCGCTCGCTCACGTCACATCCCTCCATCCCTCCCCTCTACTGCTCTGTTATTCACCTCCCCCTCCCTCCCCTGAAAACCCGGAGGTCCTATGCTCTCTCGCTTTCGCTCCGTCTTTCTCATTTCCCTCCCTACTACTCCCCAATTCTCTCCTCCTTTCAAGCTATCTTCACTCTGGTCACTGTGTCACGCATCAGCCGACCACATTAGCATTCCGAACGGCAGGCAGTAAGTGCAGCAACCTGTAGCGTGTTCTCCCCAGGGCTGAAAAAAGGTGGGAAAACTGGAAAGATGAAGACAGAGACGTGAGAGAGGGTGAAGGGTGAAGCACAAGTTGAGAATGAAAGATGAGAATGGGTGACAAATAGAGTGGAAATAGAAAATGACAGAGATGATGCACAGGGGGTGGAGGAGGTGGTGGAGGAGGACGGCACGCTTTTTGTGAGCAATGTTTTCCATTCTCTTCTCCCATTTTTGCACAGAGGACACACAAACATAACATCAAACAGATATGAAAGCTCGTTTTCAGCACCCATCAAAAGAGTATAGTCAATAATGAGAATATTTGTGATTTTTAGAATAGCTTGTTAAATGTAGCTAATCTATAAATATATGGAGAGATACGAGATGCTTCAACCACAGTGTAATTTTAATATATGTATAGAAAAAAACAGTATAGGTTATGTTGATTTGCAACAGTAAGCACGGGAACAATATTAACAACAATACCAAAAACAAGATGAGATAAGGTACATTAGGAGCATCAGATGTCTAACTGACTAGTGGCTCAGAAACCCATCCTGTCAAAGTGCTTGGCATTAAAGAACATATCCACCCTTCCTCTACCCCTGTGTAGCGTAAGCCTACAAAGCTTATAGATCCACAGAGAATGCCATCACCATGGCTCTCCATGTCACACTGACCTATCTTAAACAGAAGAGGCCATAGTATGTGAGGATGCTTTGTATTGACTAAAGCTCTGCATTAGCTGATAGGTTTCAATATTTGTGGTTTCAATAACTTCCTATTCTTGTGAATCAAAGATTTCCTGTCTTACCACCACCACAGTCAGATTTACTGGAAGGCTACGTACAAATGCAGCCCACTTCTCCCCACACAGCCTGAACACAAAACAATCATTAAAACTGAATATGTCACAATAGCACTGGGACTAACTTTAAATATGAATTAGAAAGCCTACAGAGATTAAA